TTGGCTGATAATATTGCCCCATATTTTCGTGTATATATATATATATATATATATAACAATTGGATTTATAGATAAGTCGGTCTGGCTTACAGATGACCTTTTTAATTTCTGCTCTCAGTTTATTTTTTTTTTTTTTTTTTTGCACACAAGACACGTTATCATTATGGTCCTGCAATGGCCAATACATTGTTACTTTTATCCTCGCCAAAGTAAAGAAAAAGGGAATAAAGTGATGGCAGATAGCAGAAGTAAGGAACACCAATGACCCATTTGTGTCATCAATAAAAACAAATAGAGAAAGCCAGAGAGAGAGAGAGAGGGGGAAGTTAAAGCGACAAAGACATCCACACATATGAAAAACCCAAATAAATGTCTTTTATTTACTTCGATTGAGTTTTTTTTTTCTGGTCTGTTATTTACTTAGAATAAAGAAAGAAATTTAAGAACAAGAAAAAGACACACACACAAGTCTGGTGATATTTTTTTTGGGTTAAGGCTAAGGCAATATAAAACGAAACTTTATATCAAAGCAAATTAAAAGAGTCAACATCAAAGAAAGTTAAAGAACAATCAAAAGGAAGATTCCATATTATGAAATTAGTTAAGTAAATATTAAATTCCTTTTTGAAAAGAATTTAAATGAATCTTTAAAATGCCGCTGAAATAATTACGCAATTCTTTTGTTAAAAATACAAATTCTTATTTATAAAAAACAATTTCAATTCATTTAAATATTTATCTGCTTGGCATTTTCATCGAATACCCATTTTATTAATTTATTAAGAATAATGAACTGCTTTTTGCAGTTTTCGTTCAAATTCGTTGCCATTCATTTTAAATCAGGTGCATTTAGCTCCTTGAATGATTCGCACACAAAAATGAATAAATCATTGGAATTTCAACGTATTTATCCAATTACCATAAACTGTTGAGTACAAAAAAAAAAAAAAAAAAAGAAAACAGAAAATGCCAAAGCGAAGCGTAAATAATGAATGGGAAAGAAAATCTCTTTTTGAAATGCAAAAATCAAAAAGATTTCACGACCTTTGGCCAGGCGAATAAGAAGGCAAATAATTTCCGTTGCTTGAATGTCGAACCTCAGATTCCCAGGACCTCTCATAACCCCACATGCTCAGATACCCAGATCCACACTTTCGGAACCCCGCCCCCAAAATAGCCTCTATAACATCCCCGGGCAGACAGGACGCGACAGGACAGGATAGGACAGGGCAGGACAGAACAGAACAGTTTCCGTTTTCCGTTTCCTGTGCAAATATGCGAACTGGGAATGGCAAAATCCAGGGGCAGAGGCCAAAAGGATTGCAAAGTAACTGCCAGTGGTAAGAAAAGTGTAACGAAAATTTAAATACTTAGCTTAATGTTTTTTAGAAAATTTATTAAATTTAAAAAGTTAATAGAATTTTTTCGGTTTTTCAAAACATAACCCGAAATCTTAACATTTATATATTTCATATTTTCCATTCACAGAATTCTTTAAGGCTTAGCTAAGGTTTCATTGGAGTTTGATCTGAGCTTTTCTCATTTTCTGATTAAAATTGATTTAAATTGATATCAGTCAAACTAATATACCTCTCTTCCAGGGTACCAAAACATGCGGGCTTGTCCTCGCAATGGTGGCCTAAGTTGACATGATTTGAGCCGGGTTCAGTTACGGTTAGGAACTGGTCTAGGCGGCTTATTGGTCAGAGGTTGTCGATGATGTCGATGGTGTTCATGTGGAATGTCCATGTTCGAGGGTTCCCTTTCCCTTTCCCTTCCCATTTCCATCCTTTTTTTTAACTGTCTGTCTGCGTGGGTGAATTTTGTTTTTTTTTTTCGTGTGAGTACGCCAAAGCTTTTCCAATGTCAGACAGAAGGACTCTTCTCGCCCTAGTACTTCTTCGGCCTTTTGTGTAAACATTTAAAAGCGGGAAATCTGTTTTTAGAATTTTAACAATCAGCGAGGAGATGACAACAGCAGAATTAGGTTCTAAATTTACGGTTTCTATCAGTTTTTTGAGATAATTTTATGTAGGGAATATTTTTGATTGACTTTTGAGTTAAAAGTCGTATTAATTAAAGATTAATTGGATTCAAATATCACTTTATATCTTATCAATATCTAATACATAAAGTTTTTATGACTTACTAATAATGCAATGTAAACTTCATGGCTTTAAAATTAGAATTTGAAATTGAATTTCTTAGTTAAATGAAATCTGTTTTAAAGAGTACATATAAAGTCGGTGTTCATGATATTCAGCACTTTCTCCCATTGGAAAACCAAGCTTTCTGCACGCCCCCTCAGCTTTTCCCGTCTCGTTTTCCCATCTTTTATGGCCTCGTAAACAGCACATAACACTAAAGAGCCTGCTGAGGGCGGGTTCGCTAGGCCAACAAAGAAAAACATACACAAAATATAGAAAAATAAGAAGTTGTCTTCCGGGAAAACTGGCCAGGGAAATGTGCGTGTGTGAATAAAATAGTTTTCGAGTATCCATTTGCATATTTAAACGGGAGAACTAAATGTTTTCCACAGCCTCACAACTCAACTCCTTCCGGTTTTCGTTTTGCCTCTTAGTTAATGGCTTTCCTTTATACAATTTTCCTCGACCACTTGTCGCACATGTCAAGTATTTGTATTTAATTTTTCATGCCCTTTCATTAAATAATAGAGAAACGTAAAAATGTTGGACATGTAGCTGTGCAACAGCTGTTGTGTCCTAGGCCACAGAGAAAATACGAAAAAAAAAAAGAAACTGAAAAAGAAGAAGGACGAATTTAGCCCAAACCATCAACAAGTTTTGGTCCCATCGGTGGCCAAGTTTATTTAGGAAAATTCCTTTATCCGAAATCCAAAGAGGTTTGGGGAATTCCATTGGGGAATTCCAAGGGCTAACAAGAACACCCTGATTTCCATATATATCAAAATATGTATATATATATATATATATGTATATATCTACATAGATTTTCGTATATTGAATTGAGTTTTTAATTAAAACGGCATTTCTGTCGGATCCTTGTCCGCCTTCAATGAGTTATATATATATATTTAAGACGGGTATCCCCATCAGACAGCTTGGAATATTTTTAACATTTTCTATTAGTATCCATTCTAAAGAATGCCAGCTGAGTTCTTTCGCTTTTGGTTATATATTTTCCTTTCATACCATCTATTTATATTTCGTAATCCGTGGTGAAAGGTTTTGACCCTGGCATTGGATTTATTGTGAATGTGGGTGTGTGTTTTGTGGGTACTTGTTGAAAGGAAACTTTTTGCCAGCGGAAAATCTGGAAATGCCATTTAAATATTTTCACAGCTTATTTCTAAGGCAAAAGATTTAAAACTTAAGAAACTATTTATAAATATTTTAATCAATAGGAATAACTAGTAAAAACTAATTTTCAATTTTTATTAAATATAAAGATGCTTTAACCTGGTTACCCAGAAACCAAAATGAGAGGAAATTTAAACATGAGTAAATGTAATTTTGGTTTTAGAGCTGACATTAATGTGGCAACGTTTTTGTGGCAAGAAGTCGTTGAGCTGCCCAACTATATTTGAACAGCTTTTGGCTTTAGTACCAAAAAAAAAAAAAAAAACATTAAAAAGCCAAATACAGCATTGCTGGAAAAATGTGGCGAATATTCGGTTAGTTGGGGGGTTGGGAGCTGGGATTTATGGTGGAAAACCTGGCGGAGGGCCAACCATTTCATATGCAATTCCTGTGTTGATTGCAATTTCTGCGGTCGGGCCAAACGTAATTTGTTTTGATATTTCTATTTGACGGATTTCTGGCTTTTGGGTCTCCCCAAAAATCCGGTTGTTATGACACCACGAAAATACAGCATTTAAGTGGGTTTTAGCTAAAAACAAAACTTACTGTTTAGTAAACTAAATTTAGTGGATAACTACTTAAAAAGGTTAAACAAAAAAGTTAAAATAATATTTTTTTATATCATCACCCCGAGAGCCTGGGCATATTTTTTGTTGGCCTTTTCACCGAAGATGCCACAAGGGGTCATCGTCATTGGGTTTGGCATGATTAAATGGAAATATCTGCTTACATAGTCTTCCGATTTCTATGGGTGGGGCTTCAGGTTGTCGGCCATTGTCATTTATTGTGATTATATGGTGCACATGGTGTCCCTGTCTAATGATGCCACCATGTGGCGGCGTCTGTATGCCCACCATCTCTTTCTACTGACCTAACTCCCTCTTTCTCTCTGCACACTGTTGCTGGTGGCAGGTGTCAATGGACCCTTTGGCCAGATTCTTCCATATTCCTATAGATATATGTATATATAAAAGATCAAGGAGATTCAAAGGGATTAAAGTTTAGCGTTTTGTACCCTGGAAAATGGCCTTTAAATAGTACTTTCTAAGCTAATTAAGATTAAAAATTGTTTAAATTAGCAGCTCTAAAAGTCAAAGAGATAATATATTCTTTCAATTTTAAAAATAATTAAACAAACTTAAGGAAAAATCAAGTTGGTAAAAAATATTTCTTTTTTCCAATTAATTTCAACAACAGATTTTAGATTTAAAACCTTTTTTTTTTGTTATATAAATTAGGACATCTGGTGTTCGAGGCTTAAAAACTGTTTTCCTTCTGGTTATTTTTAATTTTATGATATTTTTCATGGGCCCCAAGGCCGCTTTATTAGCCCTCTCGCCCTTCTGCCACCGTTTCACCGTCCGTCTCTCTCACTCTAACTTCGCGCCCTTCTTCACAGTTAGGGACATTAATTTAATCGGCATGTCATTTCATGTTCAAAGTTTTACACCTTTGCGACAGGAGGCAGGATAACCATAAAATGCCTCTTGGCTTTGTGTCATCCCCCCTACCCCCAACTCAACCAGGATTTTCTCCCCTTTTACCTGCTTTTCCAGCTTAATTCCCTTGTTTTTGGCCGTGTTAAATGAGCTGGGGACAAGAATGGAATCCAGAGAAGTTTTCTCAGGAAAAATGAGTTTAGTTTTCCTTAGCTCTTACCTCTTAATTGGAAATCCGTGATTTGAGACACCAAAATGGGGAAAACGTATCTGCAATCAGAAAATCGAAACAAATTTCCACAATTATAAGCTATTTATTTATTCATAAACGCGGCCAATCAAACATTTACCAGAGATCGCTGATGGAAAAATTTCTGTGAAAAATTGATTTCCGTTTAATTGCGCATAACATTCGCCAATCATAATTGATGGTGCAAATTCGGGGTGGGAAAAGCCATCATCAATAGTTTGTTGGTTACGGTGGGAAAAGTGCAAATGGGAAATGGAAGCGTGGTGGCGTGCTTCGAAAATGGAGTCTGGTAAATGAGTAATGGCCTGGTTTAAATACCAAATCGAATGTGGGAAAACGTTATGGATATTGATCAACTAAATGAACTTCGGAAATTGAGGTGCCACAATGAGGAATATGGTTATAAATTATTACAAAAATCAGTGGGAGGTTTATTGGAAATATTTTATAGGGAAAAATAGGAATATCTAACAAAAATGTAAGCTTCTGGGAATTTTGTATGTTTGTTAAAAAATTATTCAAAGTTAAATAAAGTTACTAAATAATATTGTTGCTCGTCTTAAAGTTGTTACTCATTCGCCCCCAAGGAATATAAGAAAAAAAGAAAAAACAAATTACAATTAAGCAGCGAGTTTAATATTATTATACTGTTTTTTTTTTTATGATTTTCCGCATAAAAATTGGGATTCTTAATTTTGGTTTATCGCATTCTCAGGCATTTTCTTTGGGGGGCAATATAATCGTTAACATTTTTCTTGGCTTTGTTTGGTCATTGCTTGATTTTTATGAGTTTTATTATCCAAAAAGGCACATGGTTGTTGTTTTTGCCAGCCCACCCATTGTTCTTGTTGTTGTTGTTGTTGTTGTTGCTCTGGCTGTTGGCAGCTTGTTGTTTATGTTGTTTTCGCTTATGTTTTTATTGACAGTTATGACAGCCATTTGGGCTCGTTGTCATTGCAGTTTTCTTCGAAATTTAGCAAAAGCGAAAACTGCGAGAAATTCATTTCGATTTTCTTTGTAACAAAACAAAACGCAATTTATTTCATACTCTTTAAAGCATTTCTTATTATAAATAATAATCGAATCTGAAGAGGAATATGTTAAAATAATCAAAATGTAAATAGTATCCATCCCTTAGAATGCAACTGCATTGTTCCTTAAGTTAAACTTTAAAATATTCTGCGGAAAATAGTTTAAGTGGAAAATCCCTGCAGCTAGCTTATCAGTAATTTAGCCTAGCAAGAAGAAAAGCTACTTATATGTTTCCATGGTTTTTATCATTAAAATGCAACCATAATAATATCTAATATTATTATGAAATGCTCAAAAGAGAGTCAGTGGGTGTATGGTATTAAGCGAAACTAAGCCACAATTAACTGTCGTTGTTGCTGCCTTAGAAATGCATGAATATATATATATATATCTACATGTATGGCAACAATCTTGGCCGCATTTTGTGGCTATGGCAACGATTGTGCAGCTCATTAGAATAGAGACTAGTAGTAGGAGGCGGCAACCGCAAAATTCCATCAACAGATGCAAATGAAATGGCAATTTGCAGCGTGTGAGCACAGTTGTGGTCATCAAAATAGCTAACTAAAATGAAATTTTCATAAGTTTCGGTTTAAAAATACTTTGAAATATTTTAAAAAAAGAACTTAAAACTGTCTTTAAAATTTCTTTAATATTTCCTACTGAGCATAATATACAAATTTTTAAAAGAATTTTTAACACAGCTATTATATTGCCTACATCTGTATATGATTGCTGAAGCATTTGTTGCGTTTCATGGGGGCGTGGTTGGTAAGTCGTTACTTCAATTAGGCGGCAAATTCATAATGTACAATCTCCTGTGAAAGGTCCTTGCAGAAAGCCACTCAAACAAAACGAAAAGCAATGGGAAAAGTTGCCTTTTTGGTCAAATATGCTTGGAATTGCCTAAAAATGTGTGTGTGCTTGTGTGTGTGTGTGTGTGTTGGCCATGTCCGTTGAATGACTTGCACACGTCCTGCGTCCTGTGAATTATCCCATATCCTGGCAGGAGGACGTCGTCATGATTAGAATAAAATGTGGCAGCTGTGAGATATGAGTGCACGTACAAACTACAGTCCAGGCCAGCCAGCAGGACAATAATGAAGGCCGCATAAAGTGCAGGGGCGTGGCAACTGCCACACACACGCTTTTACACTGACAAAAAAATTAAATTAAAAAATTCCAAAAAACATAATTAAACTTTTTGGTATTTGACAATTTGCGAATGGATTCCATTTACATGAGCATTACAGTTTGAAATCAGTTAAAATAAACTAGAAAATCAAAAATAAAAATAAATATGAAATTCGATTTCCTTTCTGTGTAGTGTTCTGTGCAGGGATAGTAAAGTTTTTATGCCAGTCACCCAACTCCAACATTTTTCGCCCCTTCCATCTAAAATATTATTAAAATTGCTCGGTCTTTGTTTGCTCACTTGCAAGTTGCTGCTGCCATTGATACCGCTTTTAGACCCCATCGTTTTCAGCTCACTTTAACCTCTTTTTCTGCACTTTCTGAGAGTATTTTCAGGGAGCTTTCTATATATATATATATATATATGTAGATATTTAACAAAATATTTGTGCCTGACGAAAAAGTGACAAACTGCAATTGCCAATACAAATTTTCGCCCAAGAGGGAAAAAGCCAAAGTGCGTCACTTACTAACAGAGTGTTGCCTTTAAAGTTGAATATTTTTTTTGGTTGGCACCGCTTTAGCTTTTTGATGGAAACTTCAATCAATATTTACATTCAATTACTTGGAATACAATATTAAACTGAAAAAAGGAAATGCTCTTTGTTTCTTATTTATAATTTATTGAATATACTCTTTTACCTCAACTAAAATTCAATTTTCGCTTAGGTAATTTTCCGATTTTATGGCTTTGTCCAATAACATCAAGGTAGCAAAATAATGTTTTTTTGCCTATGTCATCAGAAAAACGAGTAGAACCCCAAGAAAATCAGGCCCTTCATCGCCTGTTTCATTATTTTTTATGCTCTCACATTTCGAACAGAGTCCTAGAGTCTGTAGTCTGGACTAATCGAATCAGTCCAACGTATATATACGTTATATATATATATATTTGAATAATCAAAGCGACTACTGCTGCCCATTCTCTATATTTGCCTGATGAGCCCAGGGAGAGCAAGTTGGTTATGGCGTTTGTCGCAGCCAGTGCTGGCAGACAAATACGTATACGTATTTTTGCAATCGAAAAGATTTTTTTGGGCTAAAAATATAAATTTTTTTTCTATGTTCTGATAAGTATCTTAATAAAAACATTTTAAAATTCATAAATATTAGGTAATATTTAAAGGTATTATCCAGAAAAGTTGCTTAAGTTGCTTGGAAACTAGACATATTGCCATCACTGGTCGCATTCGCATTGGCATTTCATTTCGATTCGCCTTTTTCGCACCAAGTGCCACTTGAGCCACTCAAGTGAGGAGGTCTGGGGGACATACTATATACGTATGTGAGAGTGTGTGTGTGTGTGTGTGTGGATAAATGAGTTGGACTCAGATCCCAGGGGTTATCCGTACAACCCAACCCCCATTACATCCCCTCCAAATGATATACCGAAGTGTGAAAAACCGGGGGCCAAAGGCAAATGAGCAATCGATTGAAGGGAAAAAAGGGCTTCAATTGAATATGAATTGACTCTTGGATTAATATCGCTTAGGCCATCCCTCCATCCTGCTTTAATTTGTCGCAACAAACTAAGCAAAAATGGAATGTAAATTGCCTTGACAAAATGACAATCTCTCTATTCTAGTTTTGGGTTCCTAGTAGTGGGGTGGCCCCACATTTTTATGGCCTTCAATATGCGGACATAACCATAAAATACAAATACCCAAACCCAAGTCCCAAACCCTATACCCAAAACCCAAACTACTACAAATCCAATGAAAACAAAAGAAAGCTCCTCTTTGATATGTGGAGAGCATACATATGTGCCGCTAATGCCCCGCAAACGATGACGCGGGCGGATAAGAAAAGTCAACAGAAGTTTTTCCCGGGGAGTCGACGCGCCCGATGACCTCCAACCGATAAACTTAAGTTTAATGGAAATCGAAAAAAAGTGCAAACAGCATAAAAAAGAGGGGAAAACTTTGAACGCTTGTCGTAGGACAAAAGTTTACCGTTTACTTGATGTTGCAAATTAAATGAAAATATTGATTTTATTATATTTAAATAATATCAAAAAATTATATAGATAAATGAGTTCTTTTCTAAGTCCTATATACCCATAATGTAATCCCGTAGTTTATCTTAGCGGACATAAAGACAAAAGCAGAAAAGTCTTAAAAATAGCAAAAATATATTGCCAATGCAGAGAAAAAACTGAAAAAGCAAAGGGCACTGAGAGGGGGGAGGGAGACATTGTTTTGGCACGATAAAAGACGAGGGAAAACGGGTGGCTTTTCTTTTCTGACCACAAATAATTAGAAAAAAAAAAATTGCAGTAGCCTCTGTTATAGGATTTTCAACCGCCCACCAAATCTCTTGGCTTTCCTCTGATTCCCATACAAATGATAAGCCCTGGAAATGAACAAAAAAAATACAATAAAATAAAATAAAATCAAGTAAAATAAAAGCAACCCAAAAATCCAAATGGAAAATTGTCAAAAAAAAGAGATGTAAAACCAAGAAGAAATATGGTCAGACAGGGAGGCGATTTTGGTAACCAATTTAGTGATAAAGTTATTCCCAGTTCCGAAACAACCTAAATTGGCTACCAAAATATAGAAGTATCTTTAATATTCATAAATTAAAAAAACGAAACAAAAAAACACACACACTCTCATTAAAATGATTGAGTTGAATGAACTAGAAAATTGTATTGCTTTTAAGGGTCCTTGTTTTATTTTGTTTTTTCGTCGGGGCCTTAGCTTCACAGAGAAGTCTTTGACTTTGCTCAGCTTCAATTGATTAGCCACTTTGATGGTTTGATTGATGACCAACTTGCAAAGGACACGTGCCG